GTGCAAATCGTCTTTACGCAGAGAAGACGGATTTCAGCAAAAGAATTTAATTAAATATTGCCTGATGCCAGATTCCCACTCAGAAAGCAGCGGTGGGTTCCATTAAAGGATGAACTTTACTCCCACAGCTGACAGCTGATTAATGTGTTAATTAGAATTCCTGCCTCACCCCCAGACACCGAAGCCTTCTCTTAAAGCCCAGAAGGATGCATATATATATATTGTACCATGCAGTAACCTAATGGCTTATATACAGAAGAATGTATACATTGTATCATATGGGTAACCTAATGGCATCTGTATACAGAAGAATATATATGTTGTACCATGTGGGTAGCCTAATGGTATATATACAGAAGAATGTATACATTGTACCATATGGCTAGCCTAATGGTGTATATACTGTGGTTCTGGCCTTGGGCATGTATGTAAAAAAGAAGGTTCAGTTGCCAATGTGAATGGCTTTCTTTCTTTCCATGGCTTTTAAGGAGTCATAGGAACCCAAAGCTATGCCTTTCAGGGCGCTGGTGTCAAGAGCAAGGGAAAGCTCTGCCGAGGCAGTGTCTTCTGAGTAGTGGGGTGGTGTAGGTTACCACACATTTATTTCACAGGAAAGGAGGGAAGCCATCCGACTACTGAGCTTGTAAGTACTGCCCTGGCAGCCCGCCAGCAAAGCGGACTATAGGAAATAAATGTTCCTTCTCCTGTGTAGAATTGGACCCATATCAGGAAAGGGAACTTGATCTTCTGGAGGACCGTGTGCTAGGCTCGAAGGGAACACATGTGCACTTATCTCCTCTGTGATCTTTCTGTCTTCCCGGTGACCTGGAATGGATCTGTGATCCGAAGCATTCCAGCGGTCCTGCTCAGTGGTTTGCATCTGCTGGTTGATTGTTTGGTCCCCGTATTGGCGTGGTAAGACAGCAGCAGCTAGGCACAATCTGGGGCCTCTTAGGGAGAGAAGTGGAACCAGAGAGGCCAGATTCCAGCAGAAGCAAAGCTGGGATGGAATCATGCAAATCAGTACAGAGCTCTGGGAGTTGGGCTTGTCTTAACATGTCTGAAGGAATTTTGGTTCGTCTTGACATTGGGGGGGGGGGGCTGAAAAAGTATCAAAAATTAAAATAACAATGTGGCAGAATTTAAATCTATCCACAATGAAGGGAAGACTATCCCCAATGCCAAAGTGCAAAACCATAGCTTATGAGACATTTGCTGTGTGCTTTGTATATGCAAACGTTATTTTATTAAAAAGAGATACTATATATATATATATATTTACATAACTACCATAGCTTAAATAATCATCTCAGGCTCCTATGATGAAACCTTTAATTATGGAAGTGTCGCTGGTTGGACGTGGAGTGAATGATGGTGTTGGGTTTTACTGCCGCACGTGATGGAGCCATTTGCACCATAAATCCATTGACCTCATCTTAAATGATGTGTCCTGTAAGACAGACTTGATTCATTCCTTCTTAAGTGACACTCTCCCCCTTCTAATCATCTTCTGCTTCATCAGAAAGATTGCTTTCCCATATTTTTTAGGTCCGTGTTCTGAACTGAAAGGTAAGGCCTTATTAGAGTCAAGCTCACAGCACCCCAAAACAACACAGTTGGGGCACACTGCTGCAGAGGCTCTTTCAAAAGAGGCAGGAAAACAAGCATTAGCTTTAGGCCTTTGGGGTGGTAGCAGTGGAATGCTTGTCTTTAGTTCCATCACTCTGGAGCAGACACAGGTGGATCTCTGTTAGTTCAAGGCCAGTCTGGTCTATGGAATGAGTTCCAGGACAGCCAGGGCTACACATAGAAACCCAAAAACCAGGGGCGGGGGGCCCCCCCCAAAAAAAGAAAGAAAAAGCACAAGGCCCTTGCTTTGCTTTGATGGAAAAGTTTGAAAAGAGTGGATTTTTGTTTCTGATGTCTGTGACTATTTTCTGTGAGAAAGGGTGAAATGTGACAGTGAATTCTCATTGGATAATTAGGACGGTCTGTGAGCATCATTCATCAAAGACTAGTAAAAGTGGAGGGTGTGAAGGGAGAACTGTTACACTATATTTATATCATTATGGTTTTTTCACCCCACTTGAAAAATATTTATCTAGTTTGAGGAATCCTCTGGAGGCAAAAAAAAAATCAATCTGGCAGTTTAAAAACCAATTAATGATTTCATAAAGCTCTTCCCGATTATTGTTAAAGAGTAAGGATCCAAAGGCCGTGCCAGGAAAGTCACATGTTATTTTAATTAGTTTAATTCATTGAGGATGATTTTTCAGTTCATGAAGAAAGAAATTGTTTGGTCCCTCACTTCAAACTTATACATTTATATTTTAGGCTTTCTCTGCGATAGTTTCATTTCACAACAAAATTTAAATGCCACATAATTATATGGTAGCTTTCTTTCTTCTTTCTTTCTTTCTTTCTTTCTTTCTTTCTTCCTTTCTTCCTTCCTCCCTCTTTCTTTCTTTCTTTCTTTCATTTTTCTTTCCTCCCTTCCTTTCTTTCTTTCTTTCTTTCTTTCTTTCTTTCTTTCTTTCTTTCTTTCTCTCGAAACAGGGTCTCACTTTGTAACTCTAGTTGTCCTGGAACTCACTATGTAGACCAGGCTGGCCTTGAACTTGCAGAAATTCTCCTGCCTCTGCCACCCAAAGGTTGGGATTAAAGGTGTGTGCCATTATACCTGGCTCTAACTTTATTTAAATGTATATACCATGTTTTCACTAACAGTTTACTTAACCTTAATATAGATGAGAAATGTGAGGGTCTGAGATAGTCTTTGAGGCTCTTTTCTTCATCAGAGGCAACTTCGCATGTACCTGCAAGATGGGCATCTCACTGATAACAAAAACATCCCCTTGAGTCCGGGAGGGCTCTGAAACACTGTTAGTGAAGGGACAGACATATGAGCACTGCCATCGCTATGGTTCAACCACTTTAATGGAGGCAGTGATTTTGATAGCTACTTTGAAGTAATTCCCTTACCACTGAAGCCCACTCACGGGTGCTCTAGTCTCAGATTTTGGGAAGAACAAACAAAATCTAATGCGTGCCAAAGCACGCATCTGACTCAGTCTCACACGGTCAGGTTTATCAACCAAAAACATGAGTGGAAGAAAAAACCCAAACCATGGAGAAGGGAAAGAGCGGCTTTCCACATGCAGCCCCGCCACATCTGCCCCCCAATCACATGCTAGCATGTCACCACAGTTTACAAGCGAGGGAAGCCGAGAGTTAAGTGAGATGAATAACCAAATGCCCAGCATATGTTGTTTGTGCATTGTTTATGTGACCAATCATTATTAAAATTTATCATCTTTTAATTATATCAGTTTGTAATCGTTAAAAACACATCCACGCACGCATGCGCGCAACAATAGAACAAGCGCCCTTCAAACCTGAGGTCCCATTTAGAACAATACTGGAACCATTGCTCCATTGCAGGAAGAAGAGTCCCATACACTCGCAATGGTGCTGAATTTTGCAATTCCTTCTCTGCTGCTGTGTGGCTTGAATGCTATGGAAACGATAAAGAAAGAAAGAAGAAGAAAGAGAAAAATATTGTGTGTATAAAATTCTGTCAAGAAAAGTGAGGCACTGGAGGAACTATTGAAAGTTTTGACATCTGTTTATCTGTTTATAGCGACGGCAAGATCACTCATGTTAATTCTTGTTTAAAATGCCATATGAAGGGAAGACATTTGTGCAAACAAGAGTCATATTTGAATTGTAGATCATGTCTTCACCATCTGTGAGAGCTGATGGTGTTGCAAAATTAATGTGTTAATGAAATCACAATAATTTCTCCAAAGTAATGGGTTCTGAAGCCGAGAATGACTATTTTTTGAACTTTGGTGTCTACTGATTTCCAATTGGGAAGGCTCTGAGTCTTTAATTAGCTCCACAGCCCAGCTTTGAAATAAATTTGGTGATATCCTTCTTTTGCCAGGAGTAGAAGGGGTGTGGGGTGGAAGCCATAACAACTTTTGGAAAATGTTCTCTGGTGTTTGAAAAGTTGTTAAATAAGGCTGCCTGCCAAGGAATGTCACCAAAAATTCTGACTGCTGAGAAAGTGGGCAAACAGCTCAAAAAATAATTCTAGCTTGCTGCAACATCACAGACTGGGAGAGCGGAACCTCACACAGACTTCATGGCGAAGTCCAAGTTGCTCCTTGGAAGCCAGACATGAGGGTATTCAGCACTCTATGCAATTGGTTAGCTCAGCACACCCTTTCCAACCACATAACTGGATGCAGTCTATAGCACAGAGAGACTTTACATAAATAAGGGGAATTGTAAGATGTTATGTTGCATGACCGATGAATTCTCTAGAGATTCCTTTCTTCCAGCATTTTTTAGATGTCTGTTTCCAGTGAACCTGCTAAGTAAGTAAAACTATGAAGGCAAGTATTGAGTAAGTGTACTGGGCAGGTGTACTGGGTAAGTGTACTGGGCAGGTATACTGGATAAGTGTACTGGGCAGGTGTACTGGGTAAGTGTACTGGGCAGGTATACTGGATAAGTGTACTGGGCAGGTGTACTGGGTAAGTGTACTGGGCAGGTGTACTGGGCAGGTGTACTGGGTAAGTGTACTGGGCAGGTGTACTGGGTAGGTGTACTGGGCAGGTGTACTGGGTAAGTGTACTGGGCAGGTGTACTGGGCAGGTGTACTGGGCAGGTGTACTGGACAGGTGTACTGGGCAGGTCCCACTCTGTTTTGTCAGCGCTATCTTCAAGTCGTTTTCACGCTGTTAATACCATTTTTTTAAAAAAAAAAAAAAAGAGAGAGACTGTGGTTGTTGCTATTTTGAAGATCCTATTTATAAAGCAAATTCATCATTCGCAAACATTTCAGAAACTTACCTTCTGAAAGGAACCCCCCCCCCCGCTCCAACTATTTGACAAATTATGGTAAAGTTTGAAAGAGCTTTTATGTGAAACATGAACACCATCTTCAGAGAAAGCTTATCTTACTTGTTGTGGTTTTTATTGCTGTGTTGTAGGTGTGTGACTGGTGTAAACACATAAGGCATACAAAAGAATACCTGGATTTTGGGGACGGGGAAAGAAGGCTTCAGTTCTGCAGTGCAAAATGTCTCAATCAATACAAAATGGACATTTTCTACAAAGAGACACAGGCCAATCTTCCAGCTGGGCTGTGCAGCACATTACACCCTCACATGGAAAGTAAAGCAGAAGGCACCGGGGTGCAGCTGCTCACTCCAGACTCTTGGAATATCCCACTAACAGATGCTCGGAGGAAGGCTCCCTCCCCGGTGACTGCAGCTGGCCAAAGCCAGGGCCCTGGCCCATCCTCGTCCACCACCGTCTCTCCATCTGACACTGCCAACTGCTCTGTCACTAAAATCCCCACGCCAGTGCCCAAGTCCCTCCCCATCAGCGAGACTCCAAATATCCCTCCTGTCTCGGTCCAGCCACCTGCTAGCATCGGACCTCCGCTGGGCGTCCCGCCTCGCAGCCCTCCCATGGTGATGACCAACCGCGGCCCGGTGCCGCTGCCCATCTTCATGGAGCAGCAGATCATACAGCAGATCCGCCCGCCCTTCATTCGCGGGCCGCCGCACCACGCCTCCAACCCCAACAGCCCCCTGTCCAATCCCATACTTCCGGGCATTGGGCCTCCGCCCGGTGGCCCCAGAAACCTTGGCCCCACTTCCAGCCCCATGCACCGGCCCATGCTATCACCCCACATCCACCCACCAAGCACCCCTACCATGCCTGGGAACCCCCCGGGGTTGCTGCCCCCACCGCCCCCGGGCGCGCCCTTGCCCAGCCTTCCCTTCCCTCCGGTAAGCATGATGCCAAACGGCCCGATGCCAGTGCCCCAAATGATGAACTTCGGGCTGCCGTCGCTTGCCCCGCTGGTGCCGCCCCCTACGCTACTCGTGCCGTACCCAGTGATCGTGCCCCTGCCGGTGCCCATCCCTATCCCTATCCCCATTCCCCATGTCAACGATTCCAAGCCCCCCAACGGATTCTCGAGCAACGGGGAGAGCTTCGTTCCGAGTGCCCCAGGCGACTCGGCGGCAGCGGGAGGCAAGTCGGGGGGACGCTCCCTGTCTCCGCGGGACTCCAAGCAGGGCTCGTCCAAAACGGCCGACTCGCCGCCTGGAAGCTCCGGCCAGGCTCTGAGCCTGGCGCCCTCCGAGCGCGGCCGTGGGGAGGTGGTGGACCTGACCCGGCGCGCCGGCAGCCCCGCGGGTGC